AATTTTGCAACAATTTTCATTAAAAACAACTTCACAATTTGTGTATTTACACAATTTGTGAACATAAAGAAGATTTACATTAAAATCAGGAACAGCAAAGACATCAAAAAATGTTAATTTTTCAGAAAACTGCAAGTTCCCAATTTTTTCAATTTTAGAAGAACCACCATTTGGGTGATTAACAAGAAGGTTTAGTTTAGAAACATCAACAGTGTCTTGCAAAAGAGACTCAGATGAAGTCATATGTTGATTAGCACCTGAGTAAACAACCCACTTTTGATGACTAATAGTAGAGTTACAAGACTTAAAAAAAGGAATACCTGCCATATTAGCACTGACAGGAGTATCCTCAAATGCAGAGGATCTTTCATTAATAAGACTCAAGAGTTTATTATACTGCTCACTTGTGAAAGAATAAGTTCCACCATTCCCAGAGATACTGGAAGAAGAGGGACTACTAGAAGGAACAGATGAAGAATTAACAGAAAAGGTTTTATTCGGATTTCTTTGGTTGTCACTGTTACACTCATTCCTAGGTTTAAAATCTTTCGGATAACCAATCAATTTATAGCACCTATCAATAAGATGTCCCTTAAGACCACAGTTCTTACACTGTAAATTCTGATTTCTTCCTCTATTAGAATTAGAACCTTGACCCTTTTTATCATTAAATCTACTGTTAAATGAAGATGATTGAGTTTTAGACACACTAGAAACAGAAGTTAAAGCCCCATTCTTCTGATGAGATTCCTCTCTAGAGACAAGTGAAAAAGCAGTTTTAACATTAGGAAGAGGATCCATCAGAAGAATATGACTCTTAACTTGATTAAAGGATTCATCAAGACCACTTAAAAAATGCATTAACTTCATTAGTTTTAAATAATCATTATACTTAGCAGCAGCTTCACAAGTACATTCAGCAAGATTTGTAAGACCATCAAATTCTTTCCAAAGAGTGTCAAGTTTATTAAAATACTCAGATAAGGAAGAGCCATCTTGTTTGAGTGAATTAATACGTTGATGTATATTAAAAATAACAGATCCATCAGCCTTGTTATAGGTTTCAAAAAGTTCATTCCATATATCTACAACAAACTCAGAGTATGCATGTCCAGAATAAATTGACTCAGACAAAGACCCAAGAATCCAAGAACACACTACAACATTAGCACGATCCCATTTTAAATATTTAAGTTCATCAGTAGAGTCCTTTTTTAAAGCCCCTTCTACAAACCCTAACTTATTTCTAGCCTTAAGACTTCTTTTCATAGAGCTACGCCATACACGAAAATTGTCGGTCCCGGTTAGTTTAAAACTCACAATTATAGTTACTGTATTATTAGATGGATGTATATACAAAGGATCATCGTAGTTCACAGGATCAACCTTAGAACCACTACTTTCAGGAGGAGTATCAGACATAGTGTTCACACAAAAAAACCAAATAGAAATCACATAACAATCAAGAAAGTAACATGCCACTGTGATCGTTTGCGTCCAGATGGTCAAAACAGTATGTTGGGGCCCAAGACAGGAATCACTGAGTCAGAAAACAATCACAAGGATTAAAGAACTAAAACACAATAACTGGTGTACTCAAGACAACCAGGATCTCCCACATCTACAGCTAGAACAAAGATAGAAGGGAACAAGAAACGCTCACAGAGCTATAAGCTGAACAGGCCGAAACAGATCGACTCCTGTTACTCCGTTCTCTTTTGAAAAATTAACGGTGATGAAATCCGTTAACAAGAGTTATTTCAGAGAACATGATTAATCGATCAAAAAAAACAACGAAGATTTGATTCGTCAATCAAGGATCTCCACTTGACGACGATGACTGTCTCTCAAGGATCTCCACTTGAAGACAAACCTGCACAATCACAAGAAAACTCGCAGTACTAGGATCTTAAAAGAAAACAATAACTAGAAAATGACCCAGATCAAATAAAAGAACCCTAGACGTTCACGGATGAGTAAGATGAACTGAAATTTCAACAGAAACCCAGTATGAACTCAACTATGAAGATCTACAAGGATCTCAACCAAGAAAATAAAGGCAAATAGAGAATACCTTTACGAAACGATCGTCAACACAGATTGAAGACCTAAAGCTCTGATACCATATAGAGAAACACAAAATCATAACTTCCTAACATCATCATCTATTATATCGATTGAGGACAAATAGACAGATGGTTTTCAGGTACTTACAAAGAAACCTCACTACACAATTCCTAATCTACACTCTCAATGAACACACATCCTAATCTACAACGATTAAGAACTACTGAAGAACAAAGAACTGATAATATCAAACAAACCCTAAAACTCTATTACAACGAGAGAGAATAAGAAGACGATCTGGAAAATATCTTGTGAATTATGAACAATAACCACTGCAGCTCAAATTATATACTTCGGCTAAACGGATCTCATAACCCGTGTGTTAACCCGTCTGAATCAACATCAACTTACACATTCGTCCACAACTTCTATTCAAATGACACAATTAACCCAACGTCACAAATACACAACTAAATCAATCCAAACATTTACACATAACACCTTGCATAATTCCTGAAATGACAAGTTTGTAATACTCACAATATTTAACATTTATCAACAGTATACAGATAATTGTCATCAATCGAGCACATCCATAATATCTATCACATAACTAAGCAATGCCTTAACAAATCTTAGTGGCATTTGTAGTGATCAAACATTAGAGTGTGTTATTCTTAATTAATAGTAGGCGAACTATGAGGGGCACCATTAGGGTGAAAAGGTAGATGAGCGCCTTCACAACTGCTATGATTCTCGACCTCCGGTTTACAATCATAATAACAATGGCACACAAATGTATTTTTGCATGTTCCATGGGAATAATATCCATGTATTCTTTGACATACATGAATACATGTATATGGTTCACATGGTGGTAAAAATTGAGTGTCACCACAAATTTGGGCCATGAGCGACTCCACACCTACAAATTTTGAAAAACATGTATGATTTTTCATATGATAATAATTAATTATTAGAACAACACACACATTCTAATCAACTCCTAAATTAAATCACAGTCTCATATAATATTTAACCCCTCACCCAGTTGGATTGAAGTAATACTATGGTACTCTAACTAATGATCATTTAAATAGTCAATAAATCTACCATTTATTACCAACCAGAACATGTTTTCTATCATGTTCTCACATTTTTATCGTAACAAATAGAAAAAAAAACATAAACATTAAAAAGTAATATTAAGGGTTTTATATTATTTACTCGGACATGCTAATTGTTCAGATTCAAAATCCATTTCTATGAATTTGAAATTAAAACTTTTTTAATAAAAAGGAAGAGAGATAATAGACATTACCGACAGTGATGAGAAACACAAGAAATGTGTAATGAATCACGGACTTATTCATGTTGATATTCAATTGATAGATTATATGTAGTGAGGTCTAGTTATATAGAACATAAGATCAAAGTCATTTATTGTTGAAAATCAAACATTAATTTTTTCATGTTTAATATTAATTGCATTTATTGTTGAATTTAAATTGTTATATATATATATATATATGTGGTATGGATTCAGATTATGTTTGTGCTTTGACCTGTCTTCATGATACGATTCTGGGCTTTGATTTCAACGGTTTCACTAATAAGGACACCCCCCCTCCAAAAGCCCAACATTCATTGGTGAGTGCCCTTTTTAGTAAAATTGTCCAAGACATGGAAGTTCACTTCGACATGACGATTACGCAGAAAGCAATTTTTGAGTGCCTAAGGGCCCACATGCTCAGGATTTTCTTATGACTATTCCTATTGACGGTCTTGGCCAACATATGTTGCCAGTAGAGTATCGTGCCATCCTTAAGTATCGCCTTATGATCCCTTTACTTCCAGCTGACGAGACTTACCCTGTTTGTCGCAAGGCTTGCTTGGACTCCTTTGGGGAGCATGCAGTTCATTGTAAAGAGCTCCCGGGTTTCAAGTACCGACACAATCTGGTTAGGGATGTTCTTTTCGACATATTTAGGCGCGCTGGGGTTTCTGCCAAGAAAGAGACACCTGTGTATTTTCTGTCTGACCCATTGCAAGGAAGATCAACACTTAAATCACCTGATATTTTAGTATTTGGATGAGCTGGAGGAAAACATGCATGCGTGGATCTAACAGGGGTTTCCCCTCTTGTGGGCTTGGGGAGTGGAGTTTTCACTGTGGGACAAGCTGTTTTAAAAAGCTGCATCAAGCAAAGTGGCAAAACATGAGAAAACGTGCATGGAAAATCAACACATGTTTATACCCTTTGCATTTGATATTTTCGGTTTCCTTGCGCCAGAAGCTGTGGAGCTACTCAATAGACTCCAACGGATCATGCATAGTAATGTTATTACTCCAAGATCAATAGATGTTGTTTTTAAAAGAATTAGTTTTGTCATCCAAAAAGGTGTTGCGGCACAGCTTGTTGCTCATTTACCCGCTACGTCTATGTAAAACTTCCTCCTTTTATATGAATCAAAAGGAAGATTAATATATATATATATATATATATATATATATATATATATATATATATATATATAATGTTTTACACATTCTAATTTTAAAATATAAAATAGATCGTAAAGTGAGATTAAATATTAGCCATTCTAAATTTTATTTAACACTTTAAAATAAAATGTAAAAGTAAAATATGAATAGAAATGCTCTAAAAAATAATGAAAGATAATGGAAAGTACAACAAATAGGTGTTTTTGTTATTTAAAAGAGCTTCAGTACCTTAAAAGTCAAAACATTGACTTTGATTTCACATGTCACCGCCCTGTGACCGAATCATCACTCAATTATGCCGCTTCCGCAGAATAATTCTTCTGACTCCACCCGACATTCAATCTGCCACGTGGCATCCCCAACCCCACTGATTCAATCCTGGACCCCACACCCCTCGATTAAACCCCTCATCGACATCTTTGTTTGCCGATATTTCCTTTTACATAATTTATTTTAATTTTATTTCTTACAAAATATTTTGATCGTCACCGGCCGATTGTGATTTCGCCGTTGGATCCATCCCGCGAAGGTAAAAGTATAGTTTCTTAAAGGTCAATTAATTAACTACAACTGTTTCTACATATCAATTCAGCTTAGAATTTTCTAATTTTGATGTAGGTTTTGTGGTGTGATTTCGCGGTTGATCTTGAAAGCGGGAGTATTCTGAGGTTTTTGTGATTTGTTGATAATTGTGAATCGATGTCTGGACCACTCGATCGATTTGCAAGGCCTTGTAAGTGTTTACTTTTCCTTTTTTCTTGATGCCGATGAGGCAATTAGGGTTTCGGTAGAGTTAGATTATAATTTTTGTCGATACTACCGGAATTTCCGTGTAATTACGTGTTTTATATTATCTGTAAGCTCATGTCGTTGATTAGTTATGTTGTAATTGGCCACACGGGGTTCAGGATGCCGTTTGGAGTATTGTATGATCAGCTTGAAAAGTAGTGGTACCTCAATGTTTTAAGTTAGGGTTTTTGTTTTCTGATTTTCATCATTCCTCCTGTTCTTTTTGGGGATCTTTAACATTTACTTTTGTTTCTGCCATTTGGAATCGTATTTATGGTATCTGAGTTATGTAAAAGGATATTAAATAATATCTGTGTAGGTAATTGCTACTGTTGTAGATTTGTAATTAAGATGCTGAAAACACATGTTCTCACTTGTCATGTATCTGCTATTTCATAGGCTTTGAGGGGTCTTCAGGCAATGATGAGAGATCAGAGAGAAGAGAAAGAAAGTCTGATTTTGAAAATTCAGAGGATGAAAGGAGGACAAGGATTGGTTCACTGAAAAAGAAAGCACTAAATGCATCAACCAAGTTCAAACATTCTCTCAAGAAAAGGGGGAGTAGAAGAAAAAGTGATGGACGAGTCAGCTCTGTCTCAATTGAAGATATTCGAGATGCTGAGGAGCTAAGAGCTGTTGATAAATTCAGACAATCACTCCTTTTGGATGAATTGCTTCCAGAAAAACATGATGATTATCATATGATGTTGAGGTACTAAAACTTCTTTATTTCTGTTTGACCTTAAAACATCTAAAAGAATGAAAGATTGATGTTTTATTTGCTGTAGGTTTCTGAAAGCAAGGAAGTTTGATATTGAAAAGGCAAAGCAAATGTGGGCTGATATGATACACTGGAGAAAGGATTTCGGTGTTGATACGATTATCGAGGTGATTAAATTCCGAAACATGATACAATATCATGATCTTTGTTTTTCATCTAGCATTAAAAACTGATATTTCTTTTCATTTTCTCAATCAGGAATTCGAATTTCAAGAGTTGACTGAAGTTCTAAAGTACTACCCCCATGGTAACCATGGAGTTGATAAAGAAGGAAGACCTGTTTACATTGAAAGATTAGGGAAAGTTGATCCCAACAAACTCATGCAAGTTACAACCATGGATCGATACATAAAATATCATGTTCGTGAATTCGAAAAAAGCTTTGCTTTTAAGTTTCCCGCATGTTCAATTGCTGCAAAAAGACACATAGACTCAAGCACAACCATTTTGGATGTTCAAGGCGTGGTATGTTCTTCTTCCCCTTTGTTCACACTTTACATAATCACTTTCAAAATATTATTTTCATTTTTGAATATTTTCAGGGGCTCAAGAATTTCACTAAAGGTGCCCGTGAACTCATTCAGCGTCTACAAAAAATTGATGGTGACAATTATCCTGAAGTAAGTAAGATTAGTTTGCTTCATTAATGAAGTTTATTTTAGCAATAATCTTTAATTAACTTTTTTGGCACTATATATTTGTTAACAGACACTTCACCAAATGTATATAATCAATGCTGGCCCTGGTTTTAGACTGCTGTGGAGTACTGTAAAGTCATTTCTAGATCCCAAAACTACTTCAAAGATTCACGTACGCTTCAATCTTTTCATATATCTTTTTTTTTTTTTTAATAAAAATCACAAGTTCACTATACAATATAATTTTTCTTCTGTTTAGGTTCTGGGATGCAAGTACCAGAATAAATTACTTGAGATAATAGATGCCAGGTAATGTTCTCACTTCTCATCAATGTAATTTACTAATTATGTTTTTTTGGTTCTTATTTATAAGTTTAATATTTCCTAATACTTGAAACAATAATTTGCAGTGAATTGCCGGACTTCTTAGGTGGCACGTGTACACAATGTTTGGATAAAGGGGGTTGTCTTTTATCTGATAAAGGACCATGGAATAATCCTGAAATCTTGAAGGTTAAGCTCAAAAGCACTTGTAATATTTTCTTATATATTTTTTATTTAAACTAAATCAGCTGTTGTGGGACTTTTTTTCGACAGTTGGCTCTTAATAGTGAAGCAAGGCGTGCAAGACAGGTGGTTAAAGTTTTAAACAGTGAAGGAAAGATTGTCGCATATGCTAAGCCTCAGCTTCATGCCGTAGGAACAACTAAATAACAATTTTTTTAATAAAAAATATTTTCCTCATTATTTATTTATTTATTTATTGAGCTGCAGCTAAGAAGCAGTGATACATCAACCGCTGAGTCAGGGTCAGAAGCTGAAGATATTGCATCTCCGAAAGCAATGAGGAGTTATTCACATCTTAGGTTGACTCCTGTTCGTGAAGAAGTAAGTATTTACTTATTTTTTTGAAGTATATATATATATATATATATATATATATATATATATATATATATTTCTATATTATTATAATAAAGTTATTTTGTGTTGTGTATAGGCGAAGACAATTGGGGGTACAAGCTATGCGGGCCCATTTTCTGGATACGATGAGTATGTTCCCATGGTGGATAAAGCTGTTGATTCTGGATGGAAGAAACAACCTTCAGCTCCAAAGCCTTATGATCCCAGAGGTCAAAGTCAAACACGGACATTGACATTTATTGAAGGTCAAAAGGGAGTGGAAAAAGCTAATGGAATGTGGGTGATGCTTGTGGCATTCTTGATGACTGTTTTTACTGTTTTGAATTCATTGATGAAGCGTGTGACTAAGAAGCTTCCAGACACGCGATCTGAGGATGCCAAGAATGCTGAGGAATTCTCGTTTGATGGGCCTGGGAAAGAGGAATTCCGACCACCATCACCGACTCCGTCTTTTAAAGAAGCAGAGGTTTTCAATTCCGTGTTGAAAAGGTTAGGTGAGCTTGAAGAGAAGGTTGATACATTGAACTCAAAGCCATCCACAATGCCTTATGAGAAAGAAGAATTGCTAAATGCTGCTGTTTGTCGCGTTGATGCTTTAGAAGCAGAGCTTATTGCTACCAAAAAGGTAAAATATTTTTTCTTTGTAGAATATGATTCAGTTTATTATATATTATTGTCATTGTTTTTGTTCTACTTGTTGTGTAGGCTCTGCATGAAGCTTTGATGAGGCAAGAGGAATTGTTGGCTTACATTGATGGTCAAGAGGAGAAAAAGTTCAGGGTGAGTTTTGTTTTATTGTTGCTATGTTTTGTAGCATATAAGAAGGAAAAGGTTTATTAATACATTGTTACATGTGTTTGCAGAAGAAGAAATATTCTTGCTGGTGAAAAGTGTCTAAATGTGTATTCTTTTTTCATGTTTTTACTGTATAATACGAAGATGTTAACAATTTACGCATTTTGTGCTAACTACGACTTTGAGAGTGCTTTGATATTATTTACAGTGTGATGGGTTTGGGCTTGTTCAATGTTACGGTATACCTATCCTAGGAGGAGCTCAAAACTTTATGGGTAATTTAATAAATAAAAAAAACTGTTTAACTATTAGTTAAATATCCAAAAATAGAAACAAAATAAATATATCAAAGTTATGAATCAGCAAAAAAATAAGGCCAAGGTTTATTGATGGAGCAATAGATGGTGTAAAGTTATATCTACAAATGGAGCTTTTTCATTTTCATCGACAAAAAAATATCCCCTCATTTTTTTTTTCCGTTAGTTAGTATCATATGTTGTTCTGAAAACAAAAAAACTTCTTCTTCTTCCTCCTCCGCTTCTTCTGCTTGTCTAAAAACGCCACCACTTGTTGTTGTTGAACACGCGACTCATCAAGAGCCTGGATAAATCATAAACTTACATCAGTATGCTACTTCATCTTAATTCATGTTCGAATACCAAAATCATAAACTTAAAGATACGTCTACGTACTTTATTGGCAGCAGCAAGCTCTGTTTCCAAGGCGTCAAGACGACGCAAAGCGGTGTTGAGCATCTCTTCTTTCTCCGGCGACAGCTCAGCCGTTTTGCTGTTGTGCGCAACCACCTTCTCCTCCAGATCCGCTAACCGTTTCATCAAGTCCTGATACTCTGTCCTCGAAATTGTGGGTTTTTTATTGTCATCGTCTAAAAACCCAGTGGAATACAGAGTGGCATTGGTTAGCTTTCTGGGCATTTCACGAGTCATTCGCATCATTGTCACCATCCCCATAAACAACGTCATCAAACCTGTAACCACCTGGTTCCCTAGTTTACCGGTAGAAGAACTAACCTCACCCCAATCATCATCAACCTTTTCATGTGCTTTACAATCAGCCATGGCTGAGTAATCTTTGCTCTCCTTTCCATCCCTTATACAATCCTACAATTCAATTTATTAAACCAAACAACCTTAAGCTTAATTTTTTTATGCATGTTAGCAAATATGGTGACTTACTTCTTCAACAACAGGAAAAAGTTGTGAGGGCTTCATGTGTTCCCTTTGCATAGCAACACACTATCAAAGGAAATGTATAAGAAATTTATAGTAGAATAAAAAACAATGAAAGGAAAGGTAAAAAAAAAGATATAAGAAATTACAGACTGATCCTCAGAAATGATCTTCTCTTCTATAACTGTATCCTTGGAACACTTGTGTTCGCCATTAGAGACCATCTGAGAATACTTAAAACATTAATTAATACACAATTTAACAGTAAAATAAATCTTATTTTTAATCTGAATATGAATATGACCTTCATGATATCTGGATCTTGCCATGGACCTTTATCAGATCGCATGCAACCACCTTTATCTTCACAACTGCAACTACCACCCAAAAACTCCGGAAGTTCACTGCCAAAATAGAACAAAATGATTATGAAATAGACAACATAACTATAAACAAAACAAATGCTTATAAAAAGTTAATTTCTAAAACTACCTGGCATCAATGATTTCCAGGAGCTTGCTCTGGTATTTGTTGCCCATAACCTACTCAACAATATCATTTACTTGTCATGAGTTAAAAAATAATAAAATTTTAAAATTAACTTACATGAATCTTAGCCGTAGTTTTTGGGTCAAGGAAGGATTTGATTGTGTTCCACAGTAGCCTAAAGCCGGACCCCGCGTTAATTATGTACATGCGAGATAGAGTCTATAAGGAACAAGAAAAATAAATAAACACACCAACAATTTTCTTAATTCTATAAAAATATATATATATCAAGAAACTTGTATACCAAAGATTATACCTCAGGATAGTTGTTTCCATCAATGCTCTGGAGACTTTGGATAAGTTCCCTAGCAGCTTTGTTCATACTTTTTAGTCCCTAATTCATCGCCATAGAATTAAAAATTTACTAATTTTTACATTAGATTATAGATTATATTGTAATTTTAGAATTAATAAACTTACAACTCCTTGAACATCAAGAATGGTGGTGCTTTGATCAATGTGTTTTTTAGCAGCAATTGAGCAAGCAGGGAACTTATGAGTAAAGGTTCTTTCAAACTCCATTATATGGTATTTGATATAACGTTCCAGTGTTGTGGCTTGTAAAAGCTTTGTAGCATCAACTTGACCAATTCTCTCAATATAAATAGGTCTTCCATCTTTATCAACCCCATGATGCCCTTGAGGGTAGTATTCAAGAACATTTTCCTTTTCTTTAAATTCAAAATCCTAAACAAGTATATTGAAATTAAAACAAGTTCACCAAATGGTTATATTTAAAGAAAAAGTACCTCCATGATGGTATCTGCACCAAAGTCCTTCCTCCATTGGAGCATATCAGCCCACATTTGCTTGGTTTTCTCAATATCAAATTTCCTGGCCTTCAAGAATCTATAGTAACATAGTTAGAAACTTACTTTTTCACATTAAAACATTAAAAAGATTCAAAATTAAATATGGTAACCTTAACATCATATGGTAATCATCATGGTTTGAAGGTAATAATTCTTCTGATATCAAAGCTTGACGTAAAGCATCCACTACCTTTATTTCCTCTGCATCATGAACATCTTCAACAACAACACACATGACTCTACTATTCCTCCTTCCCTTTTTGATGAAGGAAGTTTTAAACCTCTTTGAGGCACTAATGGCCTTATGCTTGAAAGAGTTACGTTTACACTTCTTTTCATCCTCATGGTTCTCTACCTCAATCTTTTCCATGCCTAATTCATAAAAAAACTAAGATTATATTGGGTATTAGGCAAAAAAAAAAAAACATAAATTAATTTAATATAGAAAAAGGAAGAAGAAAAGGAAGCATACTTGACCGGTTTGGGTGGTGAAGAGGTTCGTGCATATGGTTACTCAAGGTTGCATTTTGTAAGTTTGATTGTGGTGTCGAATTTAGGGCCATTATCAAATGCCTACACCTTTTAGAAATTATACGTTAAAAGTATATACAGTGGCCAAATGAAAAAGAAATCTGGAGGTTCATACCAGCGCTTTTACATATGTGTGCTGCAAAATCCATGAACAAACAAAAGATTATATTACGTTAGTGTTACAATCATCATAAGCCATAATTGAGCTCAAAATCATGATATCATTCATGCATTTCATATGAATGATTCAAGATTCGTTGAAGATTTGGTCGATATATTGATATCTGATGGTTTATTGATCAGAACAATAAACCAGACTCATGAATTTGCATTTTCACAAACAGATGGTGTGCATACCCTAAAAGGGTATGAACATTTAAGGTAAAACCAATGAAATGAAACAGATAATATGGAGGAGGAAGAAGGAATTACCAGCGACAAAAAAAAAGTAGCAGGACCCTTTTGGACAGGAGAATGGGAGGGTGTTTTAGAATTGCGTCATTTCGTCCGCCAACAAAAAAAACCCTGATTTTCGAAAACCACCCATTATAAATTCAGAGAGATTGTGCTGTTTTAGGGGGAATTGCACATCGATTTGACCAGGTCCTCGTCAATTCCCATTACCCTTTTCTCTCTCTCCCTCTTACGTTTGACGCATACACGCACATATATATGATATATATAGTGATTTCTATGTAGAGTTAGAGAGAAGTCGTTAATGGCAGGAAGTATGGCGAGGGTGATAGACCACGCAGCTAGCCAACAGAGTTGAAATTGAAACCCTCCATATCTTAACTAACTTACCTGCTTTCTCAGGCGCCTCGTGTTCTATTATATGATTTTTGAATTTTATGCTAAAAGTTGTGTTATGACTTATGAATTTACTAAAAGAATTGAGTCAATCACTTATTCACTTGTTTATATTGAGAGAAATACGCCGAACACAATGATACCAATATATTTTTTTCATTTGACATAACTGTTTGGAGGATAATACTTCCAAAATTGCGGCAAGCATTCAACTAATAATAATAATAATAATAATAATAATAATAATAATGAAATAAACTAATGCAAGACATCAAAAAATTTAAACTGGAAAACTTTCTCAAAACAAGGAGTAACAATCACAGGACCAAGTCCAAGAACCAATCTACTAGCACCGAATAAAGGATACACGAGTGTATTAGGTTGGAATGTTTTTCAAATCATCAAAATTTAAACTGGGCCTATACTAATTGGGAATATACAACAATAAATAATACATTGGGCTAAATGTACACCACTGTCTAATATGCCTCTATAGTTGGAACGGGAGAACAAAGGTGAACATTCAAATTGGATCGAAAGTCGGTGAACAACAAAGATGATAATCCGTTCGTCAAGATGTTTGCATATTGAAGGGTCAAACTGGATCGAAAGTCGATGAACCCGAATCTGTCCAATGGCGACCTTATCCTTAACAAAAATGACCATATTGGACCTTTCATATTATTACACAACCATAATTTTCTGAACTTTAAAAAAATGACCAATAACCCGGCGAAACATTCACGACTCGCACATATGATGCTTCTGACATAAAGGGAATTCCAATAAACTTTTGCGGTTATGTTTTGTTCTTCGCATGCTATATTAATAAAAAAAGGTCATCGATCCTACCTAACAAGGTTCGATACTTGTTTGCGACAAAGTATTTTCCTCTCTAGTGTTGATGTTTTGTTCGAACCCGACGTAAACTTCAACCATGCACACCGGAGTCATAATTTCTTCTCGTTAAATCCTCGTGGTGACTCTATTTCCATTTATTTAAAGGTTTAGAGATCACATCTTTAGGTTTTTGTCTGGTCATAGCATTGTAGTTGTTGGGGACATTCGAGTTATAGATCAGACGTTATGCTCTCGATTTGATTGTGTTTCCATATAGCAACACATGTGTATGTCATTCCCCCACTCAATTGAAATTGCTTGTGCTTCACCACCCTTGTCATCATTTTTACATGTGTTTACGATGAACGCCGACGTAGAAGAAAGCAAAATAACATCTTATAATAATTTACAACTGTGAAGGATGAAAAACCCTCATAAGAAACAACCTTAATGTTGCAAAGAATACCCACTAAGAAACATAAAGGTTTAATTCACTAGAAAAAAATGTCCACAAGAATGCCCCTTAATAGCATAAAATAGGAACGAA